CACCTGGGTATAGGCACGAGAGGAAACTGAAGAAGCTTTAGATTCACATGTAATAGTGCTTCCATCGCCTTCTTTTCTGGGTGCTCACAACATGTGTTGGACTGTTTTCGGCGACCTCGCCTGGCCCAGGAGACGCGTCAGCAGCAGATTGAAGCGCTCGGGCTGGTACTCCATGACCCAGTCCATGGCGATCTTCTCGTACTGAATATCAGGCCGCTCAAGGAGCATGCGTTCATGGCTCCAGACACCTCTCTTGCCAATCTCCATGAAGCGCCCACCCTTCGAAAGAAAGCTGAGGGATTTGGGAATGAAGCCTTCGTGGCTCAGACTGTTCAGAACTACATCCACTCCATCCTGAGCACCGTCTTTTTGCAGGAAGGTCTTCATGTCCTCCTCGAACTGCTGGACATCGCGGCTGCTTGTGATGTACTTCACGCCACGATCCCGCAGGTACTGCACCTTCTCAGGGCTCCCAGCTGTGGCGAAGATCGTCGCGCCCATGCGCTGTGCGAGCTGCACAGCCACAAGCCCCACTCCTCCAGTAGCTGCGTGGATCAGCACCCGCTCACCGAGCTTCAAGGGCGCCAACTCCACAAAGGCTTCCTCGGCAGTTGCGAAAGTCACTGGCCACGCCACCATCTGCTCGAAGGACCATCGCTTGGGCTTCGGAACCATGAGCAGGGCCTCCGTGCAAGCGAAAGCTTGTAAGCAGCCTGGGGCGATGCCGAAGACATCTTGCCCGGGACGGAGCCGTGTCTCTCGCTCTCCGACAGTACAAACAGTGCCAGCACAATCACCACCTGGGTTGCCGGGGTCGCCGGGATACAGATCCATGACGTTCAGGACGTCCCGGAAGTTGAGGCCAACCGCACGAACGCGCAGCTCCACTTGGTCTGCGTCCGGCGACGTGCGCCGCAGGGGGACCTCACGAAGGTTGGACAGGCTCCCTCGCGACTTCATCTCCAGACGCATGGGCTTCTGGGGCTGCACTGGGCAGCGGCAGAGCCGGGGCACATAGGGGCCCCCGCTGAGAGCTAGTTCGGTCTCGACTCCACCAATGCTGCCAAGCTGTTCCAGGATGACCTGCGCCGTAGCATCTGCGTCGTCCGGATCGGGCACGTCCAGGTCAAAGCAGTAGAGGCCCAGCGAGGCGTCTTCCAGTCGCACGGTGCGCGCCAAACCCCAGAGGCCAGCATGCAAGTAGCTCCCAGCTCCACGCTTCGGGGCATCCTGCAGAGAGGGCTCAGGAACGGAATTGGAAACAGCTTTAGCATGCTTTAGCAGACTGTTGGGCACGCCTGCGTTCCGAAGGTGAAGTAGGCGATCTTGGGCACTTGATGGCCTTTTGCGGCCAGTGCCATGGCTGCCTCCAAGGCTCATCGAAGAAAGCAGCTTAACCTCAATGAGGCCCAGACGCAGGCCTGCACCAAAAGCACGGCATCGAACAACACCTGCATTTCATCCGCGTCCTGTCACGATACAGAGGTGCACACATCATGGTGAAACAACAACTGGGTACCAGATCGATGTCCTGCGATGCCGGGAGTAGCACCACAACCTCCGTCCCTTCAAAGGTCGAGTCCGCAGCTGTCTCCAGGAAGCTGGCCTCCACACCAGGCTGAAATTGCTGAAACAGCTAGAAG